GCATAATTGACTAACACAGTGTGTTGAGGTTTTAATCGACATAATGGACTAACACAGTGTGTTGAGGGACGTAATCGACATAATGGACTAACACAGTGTGTTGAGGTTTTTAATCGGCATAATTGACTAACACAGTGTGTTGAGGTTTTAATCGACATAATGGACTAACACAGTGTGTTGAGGGACGTAATCGACATAATAGACTAACACAGTGTGTTGAGGGACGTAATCGACATAATGGACTAACACAGTGTGTTGAGGGACGTAATCGACATAATGGACTAACACAGTGTGTTGAGGGACGTAATCGACATAATGGACTAAGAAATGTTAGTATGGGGGGGTAGGACCCTTGAGGGATGATATGGAAAGGCTCGTATCTGATGATTATGAGATGGCTGAGTTATTAAACTTTGCTTTTTTTTAGGTTTTTACTAACGAAGATTTAAGCAGTATTCCACATCTTGAACGGTTGATAGACTTAAGAAAAAATTGGGAAGTTTAAAGAATGATATTGCTCTTGGGCCAGATTATATTTCCCCAACGGTTTTGAAGGAGGTTAAAGGTTTGATATGTGAGCCACTTGCTACAATTTTTTTTGTCAGTCCTTGAATAATGGGCAGGTGCCAGAAGATTGGAAGTTAGCTAATTTAACTTTTCAAGGTGGTAATTATAGGCCCATTAATCTTACATCAGTTGTGGGGAAAGTTTTAGAAAGTCTGATAAAAGGTGCTTTGCAAAGTCATTTAACATATTTTAGAACTTTATTGGACAGTAAACATGGTTTTTACTAAGGGAAAAATCTTGCTTTACAAATCTTTTGACATTCTTTGAAAAGGTTACTGCTTATGTAGATGAGGGTAAGGGTGTAGATTTACTGTATCTGGATTTTCAGAAAGCATTTTACAAAGTGCCACATAAAAGGTTTGTACAAAATATACCTATAGTTGTGGGGGATAAGATATTCATACTTAACAGTGAGAATAGTAAGACTAGGGGACACAAATATAAATTTTGGAAAGGTAGGAGTCATCTTCAGCTAAGACAGTTTCATTTTTCTAACAGGGTGGTTCGCCTTTGAAATGGATTGCCTTCTGATGTAGTGGAGGCAGTAAATTTAAGTACGTTTAAGAAAAAGCATGATAAATATATGGATAATAAGGCTTTAAAATTTTTTTCTTAAATTTATTTATTAATAGTTTTAGTTTAGTTTAGAGGGTGGAACAGCCGAGATGGACCAATAGCTCCCATGTTGTCCCAAAACATTATGTTATTTTAATGAACTAATACA